AGTACGCAGCTACATCTGTCAATAGTTGATGGATAGTACTTCAAAGACAGACTTATCAGAAATTAGTTAACAGTTTGAACACCTTTTCGGCAGCCGTAGGTTAGACAGTGGGAAACAGGTAATTATTTGCTGTATTACCACCGTAGTCCAAATTCCGCATGAAGCTGCCAGCTGAAATTCGGTTAAAGGCATCAGGTACGCTGCTACGGATTACCAACGACTCACGGGGAGCGATCAAATTGTTGAACCATCCACTCATGCAACTTTGTGAAGGCATGTATTTATCAACAACCGCAATATCCCACGAAACACGGCTGAACACGGGGGACCAGCAGGGCCCGGAAGGCCGCGATCAGTCGTCTAACCGAAAGCAAACTCAAAGGCAAACGTCATCACAAAAAAACGGTTACTGGCCGACCCGTTAACGGTCGGCACAAACTCCATTTCTACCACAACCTGTGCTAGCTCACTCTTGGTTACAAAAGCACTATCCTGCATGTATACTAATGCACAAGGCCTCATAAGTAAGTTGGTAGAACTCCGTCACCGTTTGGCTTCGGAGCCTCGAGACATCATAACGATCACCGAAACCTGGCTGAGCGGCGAAATCACAGACGCTGAGATTGCCATACCGGGTATGTCACTTCTCCGGAACGACAGAACGGGCAAGGGCGGTGGCGTGCTCATTTATTTCCGAACGAACCTTCGTTGTGAGCTCATAGACGATCCCCAGACTTGTGTCACCGACGTCCTTTGGTGCAAACTGTGGTTGGAACGCAACGACGTATGCCTTCTCTCTGTGGTTTACCGACCACCGAAATCCACTCCGGAAAGGGACAACAGACTTATCTCCGCTTTTCGCTCCGTGCTTAATCAGAAGTACAGCCACATCCTCGTTGCAGGAGATTTCAACACCCATGACTTGGAAAATCCAGCATCCGAGACAGAGGGGTTCAAGGCATATTTGCAAGAGCTACTCTCTAGCACCTTCTTGTATAACCACGTCACCGTTCCAACCAGGTTCAGAACAGGAAACAACCCATCGATATTAGATCTAGTGCTCACTAACGAAGAGCTCATGGTCGATGGACTAATGGTGTGCAGTCCTTTGGGCCGTAGCGATCACGTGACTTTGCAGTTCGATTACATCTGCTACGCCAAATATCCAGCTGCGGAGCTCGAAACGAGGCAATCTGTTATCCATTACCACGTTCTGTCTGCCTTAGTTGAGAATACCAGTTGGACGTTTCTAGCTAACTGCACCCCAGAACTAGCCTGGGAGACATTTGCGAACACCATCACGTCACTAGTCATAGAAGCCTCAACACCAAAAGTTTCCCAACATCCCCGCACAGCGAAATCATTCTTGCGAAGTCGGACGCGAAAATGCATGACTCTAAGGGATCGGGCATGGCGCACGTATAAAAGCAACCCCAGCGCAGAAAACTGGACGGAATACGTTTCGCATCGCAACTACTGTGTGCTTTTGGTTCGCGAAGACAAGAGAACGCATCAGCAGGAGCTAGCCAAACGATTCTGTTCGAACAAAAAGCTTCTTTACAAACATGTGAATGGACTTCGCAAGGTGCAACGGGGAATCCCACCACTTAATACGACCAATGGGTATACACATACTGCGAAAGAGGCGGCCAACGCATTACGGGCCCAGTACTCCCCAATCTTCCGAGGTGTACAAGCCTCGACGTATATTCCGCCACTAGTTACCCCACCGCCCGTTTTATCCAACGTCACGTTCACTGCAGAAATGGTGCTGCAAAAGCTGCTATCCTTGCGTCCACACAGCTCTCCCGGGGCCGATAACATTCACCCGAAAACATTACAGGTAGCTGCCATCCACTTGGCCGAACCACTAGCTGCATTTTTTCAGCGCTGTTTCGATGAGAACATCGTACCTTCGAGGTGGAAACAAGGTGTAATAACGCCCATATACAAAGCAGGAAGTCGATCGGATCCTGTCAATTACCGCCCCGTAACGCTTCTGCCTGTGATCGCCAAAGTCATGGAAGCGGTGATAGCAGATGCGTTAATGGGATACTTGGAAAACTACGGCATAATTGCGCCAGAACAGCATGGGTTTCGTCAACATCGTTCATGTACGACGAATCTGCTGATGGCTCGTGACAACTGGACCGAGACTGTCGATGAGGGAACAGGAGTCGATGTTGCATTCTTGGACTTTTCGAAAGCCTTCGATCGCCTGGATCATCGAATCCTGCTCATTAAACTCCAACAGTACGGTATCGGAGACCCGTTGTTAGGATGGATCGGTAACTTTCTCTCTGAACGGCAGTTAGTAGTTAGAGTTCGATCATCCTTTTCCGATCCGATTCGAGTGGGATGCGGCGTACCGCAGGGTTCGGTACTTGGGCCTCGTTTGTTCCTGCTTTTCATTAACGATCTAGTAAGAGTTATTACGTCGAAATTCTTACTCTTCGCGGACGACCTCAAGGTTTGGCGGGCGATAAAACGATCGGACGACCATGAAGTCCTACAGCGTGACTTGAATGAGGCCTGGAATTGGTCGGTGAGAAACGCCCTGCCGTTTAATGTGGACAAATGTCGCGTTGTTCATATCCGCCATCGACAAGTCCACGTCTACAAGCTTGGGGCACACGATCTGAAGACCACCACTCAGGAACGCGACTTGGGTGTGCTGGTACAGGAAGACCTCGGGTGTTCCAAACAGTCAGATTCCGCTTCTAAAAGGGGCAACCAGCACGTTGGACTCCTGCGAAGAGCATTCGGAATTTTGGATCCATCCATCTTCTCTTTGATGCTGAATGCCTACGTGCGTCCTCACGTCGAATATGCAATCCAGGCCTGGCAACCCTGGCTAAAACGTGACCTTGCAGCGCTTGAGACCCCACAGCGTCGAGCAACGAAAATCGTCAAGGGCTTGCGCCACACTCCTTACGAGGAACGACTGGAGATACTCGGAGTGTTCAGCGGACGGTACCGGCGACTTCGTGGAGACCTCGTACTAGTGTACCAGATATTGAGCGATCCCAGTCACGTATGCCGCCACCTCTTGAAGCTCAGCCCGAACACTAACCTTCGCGGTAACAGTTTAAAGCTGAGCCAACAGTACAGTCGTCTAGACTGTCGGAAAACCTATTTCTCCCTCCGGGTCTGCGGGCCCTGGAACGCCCTTCCAAACTCAGTAGTTTGTGCCCCCACATTAGATACGTTTAAAAAACGATTGGACGTCGCACTGAGCGCCCTGCGCTTTGTTTTATGAACGAAAACGCTTGTATATATTTAGGCTGACCAGCCTCTTTGGATTTATACCCCAAATTCACGGTCGTAAATCTGTGCGAACCGGTGAGTACTCCATTTTTATTTGCTACCATCACCAACGATAACAATTTCTTAGCCAGTTTTGCGTCGTACCACTTTATCCCCCTAAAACTGTTATACTTCTACCTTTTATCTCACTGACACTCCTTACTTCAACCACTTATGTGGTTTGCCAATTTGTTAGTATTTCTATTGCCAACCTGCGGGACTCGTTAAGTGTATGCTTTTTTACCCGTCATATACCATTGTTCCATTGTTCCATAGTCTTGCCAAATAGGCCATCTACAAGTGTATGTGCCAGTGATTAAGCTAAAGCAAGAGACGTACTTCGGGAACCTGCACGTACGTCGGACGGGAGATCATCCGATCGGTTCAGGCCTAATGGGAGAGACTGCAGTTAACAATCCGTCGCATTCTCACACTGTGCGAACTCCATCAGCTGCAAGCCCGACTTCAAATATAGGAAACTGTATCCACAGTACACACTAACGAGAAGTCCCCACTGTTTTAATGAGAATGTTTGTTTGCATCATCCCACCTGGTGACCTTATTGATGGCATTTGCTTCCCTATTCCAATCTGTTACACTATGTTTCTGATGCCCACGTAAGGCTATCACATAGGTTCACATCCAAGGTTTAAGTAACCACCATCATTCCCAAATTTGACTGACAGGAATGCTGATGCTGTGCATATTGAAGGAATATGGGCCAGCTCCGTTGATGAAACATGGTTTACATCCACATGTCTCCCAGTCTTATTCCTTCGGCTTTACATTGACTATGTGTGTGTGTGTGTGTGTGTGTGTGGTGCAGATCAATCCACCCATGGTCCCTCAGTGGATGCAGGTGTCCTGTGGCTGTCCCCATGGAGGCCACGATGTCAGGCTGCGGATGCCGTCATTCCAGGCATATATATATATATATATATATATATATATATATATATATATATATAATTTAACTTTTGTAGCGATTTGCTTGACTTCTTTCCATCTAAATCAGACTACTGTTCGTATCTTATTATACTCTTAGGCGGCCAGTGCGGAATGTTGGTCTGCATGCCGAGTTCGTTTGTTTACCGGGAACACCGCCTCTTGCTCATCACCTCGGCTCCTTTTCATCCCGCTGTCCCTACTTGAGCTGTTTTTGATTGATTCCCCTAGCTGGCAACGCTTAACATCGATGCATTTCGTAGTTCGAACTCAAGGAGCCATTGGTGAACCAAGGAATATTTCCTCTGCATGTATCTTCTACTGGAACATCAGTTCAGGGGATTCAGCTTTAGCCTCACTAGCGTTTGCATGGTAACGGCGCTCTTGACTACAGCACTGATATTGCGAGTGCCAAAAGTGAACAGACGATTTACTGACACATGGGTTCACTAGCAGTCCATTAGCTTCCACTTGGCCCCTGAGGGTTTGCATCCCACATTTCAACGGATTTTCAGCAATCCCAGTTGCCATAAATACCACGCTGCTAGGTGAATCGGTCCATTTCTTACAACGAATTGTAATTCACATCACCACTGATAATGATTAGTCGGCAGTTGGTGTTTCCTCCAATTCGGATGGTGCTAAACTTATCCGTCCCATGGACAACCAAGTGAATCGCTGGGATCGCAGTGTGCACTTCTTTTTGTTACCATCGCTAGTTTGGGCAGTAGAACGCCTGGAAGATTAAGTTCAAGAACTCACAAGCCGGGGTTATCTAAAATTAACTATAAATACATCACAACGCTTATTGCACTGTTATGTAGCTGACTTGCATGGTCATTTTGCAAAATGAAGAAGATCTGTGTCTTTGAAAATATACATGATAACTGGATATACTGAACTTTGGGACTATTTTCGTGGTGCGGAAATTCCGGCTGTTGTGAATGCTGGAGGTTTATCTTCTCGGCCTTCTTTGCCCCGTCCCTTTCCGGTCTGCGCATCAAATCGCTCTTTGTGAGATCCTGTGAAGCCTTTCACATCCGTCAGTCTCGATGTGGTCGCATCGGAGGAGATTCTCTGTAACAAAAAGTACACAGGCACGCTTAAACTTGAATATATATATATATATTAGGAGAACAGCTATTGGACATGCATTTATCGTGACCGAGCTTGATAGCTATTCTTTACTCTTCCTATTTTCTGTTTCTTGACTGTTGTTTAAAAGCTCTACTGCGTTCGCCCGATTGGTACATCCACGTCCTTGTTAATGGACGCTCCTCGTCATGCCTTTCTCAGCAGCGCTGTTTGCAAGAACATATTCTATTGGTTGTTTTCTTCTCATTACTGTTCTACTTGGTTATGTTAAAGGAATATTTAGTGTCACACAATTATTGTACCAGTTTTCAACTTTTGGGTCTGCATTCCTTATTCGCGTTTGTTTCGTGACTTTTGTTTAAACGTTTCATTTCGTCATTCTGATTGGCCAGTGCCCGTCACTGTAAATGGTCGTTCGCTTTACGCTTGGAGTCCAATGATGCTATTTTTAGGGACTTACGCGATTCGCTCTTACATACACGGTTGCTTATTCGCCGTTGCATTTACGTTTTTCCTTCAGTTGGTTGGCTCAAGTGTACTTTAGTAGCTTCCCTTCATTTTGCCTTCAAACTATATAAGCAACTGTGATTTCATGTATACAAGTCTCCTTCTGGCTCGTCTTTGGACTTCTTCTTGCGGTCGTGGGGTGAAGGCATCAGCGGCGACGCAACAGATTTTCCGGTGACGGAGGTTCCGGTAATCATGTCGATCTCGTTCGAGCAGATACAGGTGCTTCTTCAACAGCAACAACTTCAGTTTGAAAAATCTCAACGACAGTTGATCGAGTTGCTATCTCAGAAGCTGAACATCCAAAGCGAATCCCCTACAACAACCGCACGGCCATCAGTGGACGCCCTTGCCGCTTCAATCACAGAATTTGTTTTCGATAGATTGAACGGATTGACATTTGAATCCTGATTCTTAAGGTATGAAGATATTTTTCGAGTGGAACTTGCAGAGCAAGACGATGCCTGGAAAGTTCGTTTGCTGTTGAGGAAACTTGGCGCAGTCGAACATGAACGTTTTACAAATTTCGTGTTGCCGAAGAATGCAAGAGACTTCAGCTTCGATGAGACGGTGACAACGCTGACGCAGATATTCGGTGAGCAGGCTTCTCTGTTCAGTGTTCGCTACAATTGTTTGAAGTTAGTCAAACGCGATGCCGTTGATTTTGTCACACATGCCGGGATCGTAAATCGCGAATGTGAACGATTCAAACTGGGTCTGATGACACCTGATCAGTTCAAGAGTCTTATTTTCGTGTGCAGTCTCCAGTCCCGCGCTGATGCCGATATTCGAACACGTATTCTCCACAAGCTCGAACAGGAACCACAGTTGACGCTGCAAGAGATTACAGCCGAATGCCAGCGACTGATTAACTTGAAGCACGACACAAAAATGATTGAAACTGCTGACCACAGGACAGAACCCCAGATTTGTCGCACAGCTATCCGTGGTAAAGTGATGAACCGGAATCGGTCAACTCAGAAGCCCCCGACCGCATGCTGGAATTGTGACGCTTGGCATTTTGTGAGAGACTGTATCTACAAAGGGCGTCAATGTCACAAGTGCAAGCGGTTTGGTCATAAGGAAACCCACTGTCGAGTTGCGCACAACTTTAGACGTTCATTTCCCTCGAGGTTGCGCACAAACATCAACTTCAGAAAGGCGAAATTTCATGGACCGGCCACAAAGGTAGTTCTCGCTGCATTTCGCACGGAATTCGCAGGCAAGAGAAAGTATTTAACAGTAAAAGTCAATGGTATTCCAGTCACCTTGCAACTAGGTACGGCGTCCGACATCACAATCATTTCGCGATCCACTTGGTGGAAGCTTGGAAGACCGGCATTCAAGCGCACAACTCTAATGGCTCAGAATGTATCCAAGGAACCGCTGAGATTGGATGGAGAGATTGAATGTGAGGTCAACTTCAAGTAACTACAACTCCGCGGCACAATCTACCTAGTCTCATGCACCGACGTCAATCTTCTCGGAATCGACTGGATTGAAAAGCTGAAATTGTTTAATGTACCATTGAATCGTGTCTGTGCTGAAAGAAATGTCACGGTGCACCATACAGCCATACCGACTCCTCCGGGTCAAAGCATCTCTGAACAGCTTCAAACGAAGTATGCGTGTGTATTCCAGTCGGAACTTGGACACTGTAAAAAGATGCAGGCAAAACTTACTCTGCTTCCAGATGCCAGACCTGTGTTTTGACCCAGACGTCCTGTCCCTTATGCTTCCCAAGCACTTGCTGAACAGGAACTTGATCGATTGCAGCAGGCCGGAGTGATCGAGCGAGTCAATTTTTCACCGTGGGCTGCGCCTATTGTTGTGATCAGGAAACCGAACGGTTCTATTCGTTTGTGTGCAGATTTTTCAGCGGGCCTGAATGCTGCACTGGAACCCCTTCAGTATCCGCTTCCACTCCCTGAGGACGTGTTTGCAAAACTGAACGGAGGCAAGTATTTTGCTACTCTTGATCTTGCAGACGCCTATTTGCAGTTAGAAGTTGAACCCGAAAGCAGAAAGCTGCTAACAATCAACACGCATCGCGGTCTCTACCAGTACAACCGTTTGCCATTTGGAGTCAAAACGGCACCGGCAATCTTTCAGCAAGTCATGGATGCTATGCTGACGGGTGTAACCGGAGCGGCAGCCTACCTGGATGACATCATAATAATGGGATAGACGCAAGATGAGCTATTCCAACGATTGGATGACGTGCTAAAAAGAATCAAAGATTACGGTTTCCGATTACGAGCGGACAAGTGCAAATTTTTCCTGAAGTCAATTAAGTTCCTGGGTTTCGTAATTAACGAGAACGGCCGACGACCCGATCCCGAAAATATAGAGGTGATAGACCGGTTACCGGCGCCATCAGATGTCACAACTTTACGGTCATTCCTTGGGATGGTAAGTCACTATAGTGAATTTCTACCATGCATGCATCGCCTGCGGCATCCTCTAAACCATCTGCTGATGAAAGACGTCGAATGGAAATGGTCTACACAGTGTCAACAGTCGTTCGAGAAACTGAAATCTCTGCTGAAGTCGGACTTACTGCTTACGCATTATAACCTGAAGCTGGGGATTATTGTTGCCACGGATGCTTCAAGCTATGGAATTGGTGCTGTCATTTCACATCGTTTTCCAGATGGATCCGAAAAGCTATAGCACATGTTGCACGGGCGCTGACGGCATCCGAAAAGAATTATAGTCAGATTGAGAAAGAGGCGTTGGTTATCATCTTTGCAGTGCAGAAATTCCATAAGATGGTATATGGTCGACGGTTCACGTTGGTGACTGATCACAAACCGCTCCTGGCAACTTTTGGATCCAAAAAGGGGATTCCAGCATATACGGCCAGTCGACTTCAGCGATGGGCAACTCTGCTTTTGGGTTATGATTTCAGCATGCGATACTTGTCTACGGATTCTATAGGGCAAGCGGACGCCCTTTCCAGATTAATCGATACCGGTAAGCGTGAGTCAGAAGACGCAGTCATTGCCTCCATCGCAGCCGAAACGGATGTAACCTACATGGTACATGACGCCGTGAGTAATTTACCGGTCACTGGCACAATGGTGAAGCAAGCCACTGAACAGGATGCATTGCTGCAAGAGGTATTAACCTACACAAGACGAGGCTGGCCAAAGAAGTGCCCGAAAGAAACATTGACACAGTTTTTCACACGACGCAACTCTTTGTCTGAAGTTGATTCCTGCTTGTTTTTTGCAGATCGCATTGTCATTCCAGAAATACTCAGGTCACGCGTGTTACAGCAACTGCACAAGAGCCATCCAGGAATCGCTGGCATGAAGGTGTTTGCACGCAGCTACGTTTTTTGGCCCATGATGGATAGCCAAATTGAAGATATTGTCCGATCGTGCTCCAGATGCATCAGTGCCTCCAAGTTACCGGTACGTTCTACATTACAAGCTTGGCCAAACCCTGAATCGCTCTGGTCGCGCATACACGTAGATTTCGCAGGACCAGTCGAAGGAGTGCATTTCCTCGTTATTATTGACGCCTACAGTAAATGGCCGGAGGTAAACACTATGCAAAACACGTCGGCCAGTAGCACAATTATTGCGATGAGACATGTCTTCAGTCAGCACGGATTGCCAGTAACAGTCGTGTCAGATAACGTGGCACAGTTTACGTCCTGTCAATTTGCTGCATTTTGTGCACAGAATGGGATCGAGCATGTGAGGACGGCCCCGTATCATCCGCAGTCTAATGGCCAAGCGGAAAGATTTGTGGATACCCTGAAACGAGCATTGTGGAAGTCAAAAGAGGAGGGATCGTTGAACGAAAGATTGGAACGTTTCCTGTTGAACTATAGAGTTACCCCGAATCCTAATGCACCAGATGGCAAATCACCAGCTGAAGCACTTATGGGCCGAAGGTTGAGAACCACACTAGATTTGCTGACCCCCAAGCGCCCGTCTCTACAACTACGGAATTCAGTGATGGAGCGTCAGTACAACAGGCGGTATGGTGCAAGAAAAAGGATTTTCAAAGTGGGCGATCTTGTGTTTGCAGCTACGAATCAAGGACAGCGGATCGCATGGATACCAGGACGAGTCCTGCGGCGCCGAGGCAACGTGATGTATGATGTTCAAGTGGGTACACAGGTGTGGAGACGCCACGTAAATCAGTTGAGGCCACGTTATACACATGGTGCCGCCATTCCGAAAGCGAACGGACTTGACGTCAATGAATTGCTGGACACCGACAAGCCTAGTACTCCTGCAGGTGGTGACGTTAGTCCAGTGGAATGCCGGGAAAATGGAGCTCGCCACAGGCTAAAGAGAACAACAAGATTCGTGCAACCCCTCCAAGTGGATCCGCGTCGAAAGACCTATGTGAACACCAGGTACCCCGTTTTTTTTAAAGAGAGGGAGGTATTAGGAGAACAGCTATTAGACATGCATTTATTGTGACCGAGCTTGATAGCTATTCTTTACTCTTCC